CGGGAGAGGCCTCGCTGCTGCCCATGCCCGCCGGCCCCACCGTCTCCACCAGGAAGCGCAGGAGGGTGCGCCTCCGCCCAGGTAGAGCCTCTGGCCAGTTTGGAGCGGCAGCGGGGTTCTTGAGTCGGGTTCTGCGGGCTGCGCAACACTCCAGCACGTGCACTCCACAGCGCACTCTGCTCATCTGTGGGCTCAGGCTCTCCCCGGGACGGAGACCCCAAGGGGCACGCGCCTGCTCGCCGTCTCCACCAGGAAGCGCAGGAGGGTGCGCCTCCGCCCAGGTAGAGCCTCTGGCCAGTTTGGAGCGGCAGCGGGGTTCTTGAGTCGGGTTCTGCGGGCTGCGCAACACTCCAGCACGTGCACTCCACAGCGCACTCTGCTCATCTGTGGGCTCAGGCTCTCCCCGGGACGGAGACCCCAAGGGGCACGCGCCTGCTCGCCTGGTGGCCGGCTGTGTGGCTGGGGGAGAGGGCTACGTCCTCACCAAGCAAGCAGCGCAAACGCCTGGTCTACGTACCAGCACGAGCGTGGCTGGGAGGCCCCGCAAGTAACTGCAGAAGGAGGGGTGCCCCCAGGAAGCACTGGGAGGGCCTTCAGCAAGCCCACTCCTCATTTTTTAAAAACTCTTTTTTAAAAAAATAATTATTTATTTTATTTATTGTTATTATTATTATTTAATTTGCTATAGGGCACATGTGCTTACCAGAGAGAAAGAGATAAAGAGAAAGAGAGAGAAGGAAAGTGAGAAAACAAGCCACCAGGTCTGGGACTCAAACCGTGGTTGGCCATGTGGGAGTCCAGTGCCTTAACCACCATGCCACCTGCCAGCCCCAGCCCACCCCTCATTTCACATGGGCAGCATCTAAGGCTCAGAGAGGCAGCCCAGTGACAGGTGTGCACAGGTGTGGCTGGCTCCCCTGAGCACCAGCAGGGAGCTTAGGGGCCTCGCGTGCCCTCTGTATGCGCGTGTGCAGGCTGGCACTGAGCCAAGCGGCATGGGAGGAGGGAGGACGGGGGTGTGCTAGTGACAGCACTGTCCTCACTTCCCCCGAACTGCCACCCCGCAGCCTGGCAGGGAGCGGCAGGGGAATTCCTCAAGCAGCTGGAAGCCCCGGGGCAGCTGTCCTGACACCCACAGGCAGGACCCTGGCTGGTCGGAGGACCGGAGAGTTCATCGGGGCTCACCTCCCGGACCCGGCCGCTCCAGCAGACAGAGACCCCCAGAGCCCGAGGGCTTGGGGACAGGCTTCCCAAGCGAGCGCAGGCACTCTTTGGGCCTGGAGAAGCCATGGGACCCAGCAGGCTTTATATGGGCAGAGGGCCGGCCACAGTTCCTTCTGCCTCTGTCCTGCATGTGACCTCCATGGGACAGACTAAGCCATCCCCACGCAGTGGCTAGAGAGAGGGCCTGACGGGCTGCCCGGAAGATCGTCTTGGCATCTGGGTGGCAGGTCGGCCTCTGGGGAGCCTGTTCAGGCAGACACTGCCGGCAAGAGCAGGGCACACTCGTGGGTGTGTGCAGGGTGAGCTAGAGGGCTGTGCTTCCTCGGGGATGGGACAGGCTGGTCTGGGCAGGGTGGCTGGTGACCCCACTGTGCCCCCTCCGTGCCCCTCCGCTCCGGGCAGCTGCTCCGGGTCCTGGTTAGTTCCCTGAGAGAGCTTTGGTGACGCGTTGGTTCCTCCACCCCTGGTCATCCTTGTCACCCCACCTGGCCCTCCAGGTCCTTGTCACCCTGGCCCGGCCCCCACACGCTGGGCCCTGCACGTGCTGACGTGGGACTCCAGCTGTTGCACTTGGTCCAGGTCGACAGCTGCTTAGGTGCACCCTCTGCTCAGGGTCCCTGTCGCTCTCACCCACGTTTGCTGGGTGACCTGCAATGACCTCCAGGAGTCCTTCCCAGCCCTGTGCCGGGTCCCACGCTCTCGCCTCTCCAGGCTTCTTCTGGCCATTTCTGCCATGTGCCACCACCCT